GATCGCACGGGCCCGCCCGGTGCGTTCCAGCCTGGGTTGCATTTGCATGTATGCAAAAACGCATAATAATTATTATCATCACTTTCAAACGCAGGTCAAAATCGCCAGTAGACTGACCACCGAGCCGCACAGCACTGGTCAAAGCAGCTGAGAAAGTTTTCAGCTGCATAGTTGAAGAACCAGACTATGAATTGCAGCTTATGCAAGTACAAGCTTTTGGAACAGAATATGTAAATCTCGAATCAATATAATTACGCGAATTATGCAAATCCTGATCATTTAAATAATGATTATTTCTCCCCCAAAATCATTGCTTTTATAGACGGTTGATGAGGCAGGGCACACGCGCATTATCTTTCTCTCAATAAAATGCTTTCACGTTTCAGAACGTCTCCCATTGTCCCCAATGTACGAATGGAAATCAAGGGCTTTCTTTTTTATTTATTGGAAGAGTGAAACTCCTGTTATTCTTGGCTCTCTTATTGTTTTTCTCAGATTTTTTTTCTGTTGTTCATCATCTGACAGAAGTTTTGGGAGAGCTGCGCTTTTTATGCGTTTTTGCATAAATGCAAATGGAAAAAAGCAAATTTTGACGCCCCATGGTGTGTATGATTGTTTGTGTGTGTGTGTGCGTGTGTGTGTGTGCGTGCGAGTGTGTGTGTGGGCGTGTGCGTTTGCGTGTGCGTCTCTGTGGGTGTTTCAACCCGGTAACCAAGCAACTTCTGACGCTAAGCTTTTCCAGTGGGTTTCTCGACCAAGTGCTTCATGGACGTATGAGACCCGCATACGGGCACGTGAAAGTTTTGGCGGGAGAGTCGCTAACTCGGGAACCAGAGAAGCTGGACTGCTAAAATTTTGAGGGGTGTTCCCCGTCCAAGTACAAGCCAAATACTCAGATCCAGCATCCAGGCACGTTTTGTGCTCACGTACGGGCACGTAAAATTCTCCGGTCTGCTACCCAGCACAGCAATACTTTGTAAACCTTCTTAGTCCTTACTACTAATTGCACTGTATTTTTATCGCCTCAATCTCAGCTTCTCTTCAATTAGTGCACTGTAAAGGAGGGAGTGTTAGAGATAGAGAATGTGATGGAAGTGTAGCGCGATCTGTGACGGAGATTAAAGGGGAATTCTTTCAGTCTTGAAACACACGTTTGAAGGAGGAGCAGAAATTGCAAACGCAGCTGAAATACAGCTAGTTCGATGACAGAGATTGAGAGGGCAAATTACCTACAGCAGACCATAATTTGACTTACATGCTTAATAAGCCTGAATTGAGGCGATGAAACGGTGATGAAGCACTCGAAAAAGCAACTAATAAGATTATGTTACAATTATGAGCAATGTGAGAATTTCAGTTTATAAGAACCCTCGAAACAGCGGAAGCGCACACTCCGCTGAAACCGCTGGAGAAAGAAGTACCAGTTGGACCCTTCGAAGGGCAAGTTTTTGACGGATTACTGAAATGTTTTGAAAAATATTCTAATCGAAGCAGAAGTTAGAACCATAGGCACAGCAGCTTTGGAAAATGGCTACGCGTTGACAGAAATATCGTTGGCTTTTTTTGAGGCAAAATGAAGACAGTTAGATTCCTTAAAACTCAAAACCAATGATTTGTCACCAAAATCAAACCACCAGAATAAAAGGTCTGACTTACCCTAAGTAGGATTTATGATGTTTAACCAATAACTTTTCCCATGTGATACCACCATCTTGATCTAGAATTACGAAGGTTAGAGACGAGGTGATGATGCTCACTCTACATCAAGCGGCTAAAGTGTTGCCAAATGTTTCTGGCTGAGGGGCCGTTCAGCTAATAATTTTCCCGGAAACAAAACGAATATTGATATGGTCAGCAGAATGCCTACCAGGGAGGCAGCATTAGTCAAAGAAACTGGAAAGTCGCCAGCTGCATAGATAAGGAACCAGAGTTAATTAACAGCTGTTCTAGACTTTCCAGGAATAGGCTATCATAGCCAAATGTCTGATAGTGCATGGTGATAGCAATTTATATATGTTTCAAAGCATGTTTGCTCTGGTCAGTGAAAATCCTTTTGAAGGGCGATTGAAATAAAGTCCGTCACACCCCAAGCGTAGTTTCTTTCGAAGATCGAGAATCCGAAATGCATCTTCTCTTACAGAGTGTTTGCTAGAGCCTAAGGGTTGATAAAGTTTCCTGTGAGGGTGGACTGATTCAAAAATATTTAGAAAAGTGATGACACAAGCGAATGAATGCCTTCTCTCGGAAACATATTACCATGGAATCATTGACCAATACGATATGCAAAGAATGCTGGTTCGAGATGGTGATTTTCTTTTCGGTATTCCAGAAGAAGACGAAAAGGAGGTGCATTTTTGTCTAATGTTTTTCACCTTTCCTTTTCACAGGCAAGAAAAAAAATTATTATTTTCTGTTATTTCATAACTTTGACAAATTTATTCTTTGTTTAGCTTCGGTGTCGCTATTTTATGAGCATGTGCTTTGTAAAAGTAATACAAAACGCATATTGTTATGGAGTTGTCTGTGTGTGCATCTCACATTTTGTCTTGCACTTTCAACTCGGGCACCACAAAAGCTTGGCGGCTGAAATTTTAGTATAGTGTTCCCCGCCAGTGGATGACACGGCAAATTTGAATTTAGCCATCCCGTACCCACGGGTAACACGTACGGCCCCGTAAATCTTTTCGGGTAAAATCAGTATCTCGGGAACTACGGAAGCTAGGAAGTCGAAATTTCATGGGTATGCTCCTTAACCACGTACTACCCAGAAAACTCAAATTCAACTCTCTTGTACTCGCGAGTGACACGTACGGCACCATAGAACTTTTTCGGGTAAAATCATTATCTCGGGAACCACAGAAGCTGAGAAGTTGAAATTTTAAGGGTATGTCCTATGCCCACGGGCGGCCCTGAGAACTTTAAATCAACCTCCCCGTGCCTGCGGATAGCACGCATTGCCTCGTAAATTTTTAACGGGCAAAATCATTTTTCAGGAACCGCGGAGGCTACGGAGCTGAAATTTTATGGATATGCCCCTTGACTACGTGTAACCCAGAAAATTTAAATCCAGTTTTCCCGTACGTTTGGGTATCACGTATGGCCCCATGAAAGTTTTGACGGAAAATTGTCTCAGAAACAATGAAAGCTAGGAAGCTGAAATTTTAGGACGATATTTTCTGCCGCTGCTGGTATCTCACAAACTCAAATTTAGCTTTCAAGCATGCAGAGGTCTTACATAAGACCACGTGAAAATTGTGATGTGGAAGTCGCTAGCTCGAAAGCCGAAAAACTACAAGGTTGAAATTTGGAGGGATGCTCCCCATCTATGTTTTCAAATTCAGCTTTCACGTACCGGCTCGTGAATAGGAGCCAGACCGCATATCTATTGTTTTTCCATGTACGAAAGTGTAAAACAGTTATATTTTTAGTAAGCAAATGTCTGCCGGACGGAATTGCGCAAAACGCATGATCGTACCGGCTATTCTGGTGCGCTTCGTTATTTCTCTTATTATTATTGTAGCTGACAGCTTTTCCATTCTTCCCAAGTGTGCTGTTCGGCTGCACTAGCTGCCTTCGCTGCGCTCCTTTAACGGTGAGACCGGGGCGGAATCGAACCACTCGTCTTCGCACTGGAATAGGATGTGTTAATCCATGTACCACCGAACTTGTGCTTCACGCAGCAATTGGAGCATTTATGTCTGTAAATCATTCACGTAGTGGCCGTGATGTCCAATGTTACTTTCACAAGCAGTATGAATTTTCAAATTCCTGCTGGTTTTTCGCTTAAATCGGAAACGGCATGAATACCATTCAACATTAACCATACAAGGAGCAAAAATGTGATTTTAAACATCTTCGGTGAAAAAAAAGTAATCTTTTTCAGAAAATAGTAATTTTTTTTTTAATCTTTTGTTATGCCCTCTATAGTTTTTTTGCAGTCCGTTGTATGGGTGGTGCGATACAGTGGTGAATTACGTGCATTCAGCATTGGTTTAACCGAGAAAGATCTCTGTTTCGTCAATGAAAAATGTTTTCGAAAAGTATCCGAAATGGTTGACCATTATGTTCGAACACGAAAGCCATTGCACAAGACGTTACCCATTGTGGTAAAACGACCAGTACCGCACCCAGTCAGTTTCGTGCTTAACTTTCTTACGCATCGTGTGCGGTCCGATGAATGCTAATATTTGCTATGCTTAAGCTTTTCTAAGTTTAATTGTTATGCAGATTTGCTAGTGAGGTAGCAAAGAGTCTGAGTATTTTATTATCAACACACAAGTTCTTGCTTCCTGAGTTTTTTGAGAGTATTTTTCCGAGAGGTTTTCATTCTTTTAGAGCAAATCAAGTAAGCAAGCATTTCTGGTAATTTGCAATATCCAAGAAGCAACAAAGTGTAAGGAGCGGTGCAATTTCAGGCTTGGGTAATATCTCACGACCGGATACGTTTGAAGGACGAGCTAGGCAGAGGTCAATTCGGATGTGTTTACAAAGGAATACTGCAAGTTGGCCACACGTACAAAACGGTTGCTGTGAAAACTTACGTAGGACACACCGATAAAGCTAAACGAATTTCATTCTTACAGGTTTTTCTAAATCTTTTTCAGCACAGAAGCTCCGAAATTTAAATATTATACAAGAGTTGTTTAGGTACCATGTACCATTTTTCTGGGGAAATTCATACATTATTTGAATCAGTTCATCACACTGGAATCATTTTTGTTTCATTTGGCTAATTCTTCAAAAACTCAGATAAATGTTAACCTTGGCATTTGAGTACAGGAAGCAAAAGTAATGAGAGAGTATAAACACGAAAACGTAGTGCAACTGATTGGTGTCGCATGCCAGAAAGAACCGCTCATGATCATTGTCGAATTTTGCGGCGGTGGATCCTTGCTTAAGGTTTACTTTGCACGATCTATGTTCAGGTTCAAAACTGACAGGATCGCTTGAATTTTTGATTTTTTTCAACAACATCATGCTGCTAAAGTTTGGTTTTTTTCAGATCCTGACATTTATGTCTTTTTTCCCTGCAGTGATTTTAGAAAACAAAACAGAGTGTTGCAAAATATGTCCGCAAAACACCTTCCTTCGGAACAGAAAAAATCCTAGAAGAACAAACTTCTTTTTCAGGATATTTTTCTTCTGTAAAGTAAATACTCTGAAAGAACAGAATTTTGTTTTTACCGATCAGCACTGTCGGCAAGCAATTTAACCAGGGAAAACACGTAAAGTAGTAATGCCACTTTTATAACTCACAATCAAAATAGCTAAAGAACTGAAATTTTGTGAGTTTGCTCCACAAAACAAGTTTCGCTTCTTCACGCCGATACCTTACAAAATGCAGTATCTGCGGAAGAAGGGAGCGCACATGGGAATTGCGACTCGATATCGCTTCGCGAAGGAGGCAGCTGCAGGAATGAAATATCTCGAAGAAAAAAAGTGCATTCATCGTGATGTCGCCGCCAGGAACTGTCTTCTCACAGAACAAATCTTGACGGTTAGCGATTGGTTCCAACCACTAAAAATTTCAAGAGCTATTAGCGCCGGGGTGGAGGACGCCAATTTTTTACTTACCCTTGGAAATACTAGTAATGCTACTGAAAAACCTGGCCTTGATTTGTAAGAATAATTAATTTGCCAGCGCCGATCGCTGGGGCGAACACACGTTTTTGAACAGTTCTCTCGCAAGTTTTTGTCGTCAAAGGTAATGTTTTTCCAACAGATGCTTCTAGCTAGAAGAATTGAGACTGGCACCAAAACTGTCAGAAAACATCGCCTTAAAATTTTAGCTTTCTGGATTTTCTGATTCCCAAGTTTGCAACTTACCCGCCGAAAGTTTTCACGGGCTAATGCTTGAGAATCACGTGAGCAAAAGCGTCCATTATGGGGACAGCAGCTCGTGCATCCGTGTAGATGCTAAAGTTTCAGCCTTGTAGCTTTTGTAGGTCTCGAGATGAGAACTCGGCCCAGGCGCGCATACGCATAGACAGACAATCCCTTCACAATATGCGTTTTTGCATTACATAAATGCCAAAAAAGCATGACTTCCTTGGTCGTTTGACATTTAGGTAGTTCAGGATCGAGAGCGCCTGAAATAGCTGCTTCCGGTTTGTGTGAGCATCTTAGTAACATCGCTACTGTAAAATATGATAATGCAACTTAATGAGCCAAAACATTCCTGTCCAGTTTATTAATTTTTCTTTACACATATATATATATGTATATATTAATGATGATATATATATATATATAAATTATCATTAACATATTCATACCAAGACTTATACCCGAGTGTTTGTGATTGGCAGCGATTTTAACAATCAGTTATTTGGTAATTAAACCCAGGCTGGAACGCACC